CCCAGCTATCCCTCTCCTTGGTCTATACCCAAAGGACTTAAAAACAGCATATTACAGGGACACAGCTACATCAATGTTTATAGCAGCACAATTCACAATAGCTAAATTGTGGAACCAACCTAGATGCCCTTCAGTAGATGAATGAATAAAAAAATGTGACTTTTATACACAATGGAATATTACTCAGCAATAAAAGAAAATAAAATCATGGCATTCGCAGGTAAATGGATAGAGTTGGAGGAGATAATGCTAAGTGAAGTTAGCCAGTCCCAAAAAACCAAATGCTGAATATTTTCTCTGATATGAGGAGGCTGAATCATAGTGGGGTGGGAGCAGGGAGCATGGGAGGAATAGATGAACTCCAGATAGGGCAGAAGGGAGGGAAGGGAAGGGAAGGGGTATGGGGTTAGACATGATGGTGGAATGTGATGGTCGTCATTATCCAAAGTACATGTATGAAGACATGAACTGATGTGAATATACTTTGTATACAACCAGAGAAATGAAAAAATTGTGCTCTATATGTGTAATATGAATTGTAATACATTCCACTGTCATACATAAATTTTTAAAAATTAATTTAAAAAATTTCAAGCCCCATAGCAGATGAAATCCCCAGGCTACCAAAGAGTATCTTAAAATTCAGACCTCCCCTCCAATCAATCTCTCCCTCTCCAGGGCTAAGATTCATTGAATGTTTTTCTTTTAAATCCATTCTTGGGAGAAGGTGCATACTCCTTCATACTTCTATCAAACTACATGCCAAAATGTTGATGCTGGGAACAGATAATGTCCATAGCCATTTTCCTCTGTCTTGAGCTCTCTTATCCCAAATACTCCTGTGGCCTAAATCTCTCACTTTACTAAGGTTTTAGCTCAAATTTCTTCTCTTCAGAGAGGCCTCCTCACTACCAAATCTGAAAAAGACCACCACCCTCAAGCTTCTATAAATCTGCCCAAAACATAATCTCTTATGTCTGTATCACATATAGACATATCTATAAAGAATAATATCCAAAGGCAAAGCCAGACTTTCTCCTTTGGGTGTCTACATTAGTGAGAAGCTGAATCTTCATAGCAGAGGGAATAAGTCAGTTTTTAAATATTTTCTAACTAAGAAAGTATAGACATATAGTTTATAAGTTTTATCTGTATGTTATATTTTGCAGTGCTAGAGACTGAGTCCAAGGGCTAAATAATTTGTGCATACTAGCCAAGTACTCTATCATTGAACTACATCCCCAGACTCTAAAAGATACATGATGAAGGAGAAAAGTTTCAATTAGTAGAGTTGTTCTGTAAAACAACCTAGCAATACACATCGGAAGCCTTTAAAATATTTAAGTTGTTTGATCAATGATTCTAATTCTAGAATTTGTCCTATAGAAATACTCAAGAGATGTTAATAAGATGTTCATAGCAGTATTACAACAATTAAAAGAATGTTATGCAGCCATTAAAAATTCTTTAAAGAAACAGCCCAAATATCTTTTGATTAGTGGATGGATAAACTAACTTCAGTATATATGCAATAGAATAGTATTCAGCCTTAATAAGGAATGATATTCTGAAACATACTACAACAGCACTCAGCCTCAAAGGCATTGTGCTAAATGAAATAAGCCAGACATAAAAGAACAAATACTATATGATTCCATTTATATAGGGTATTTAGGATTAGTCAAAATCGTAGAGACAAAAAGTAGTGGTGGTTGCCAGAGATTGTGGTAAGTGAGGAGACAGAGAATAGGAAGTTAGTGTTTAATGAGTATGGAATTTAAATTTGGGAGGATGAAGAAATCCTGGAGATGGATGATGGTGATGGTTGTACAGCAGAATAAACATACTTAATGCCACAGAAATGCACACTTAGAAATGGTAAATTTTGTTATATATTACATTCCACTATATAAGTGTGTGTGTATATATGTGTGTGTGTGTGTGTGTATATATATATATTTTATAATATATTATATATATAATAAAAATGGGAGATAAAGACTGGGCATGGTAGCATATGCCTATAATCCTGGCAACTTGGGATGCCAAGGCAGGAGGATTGCAAGTTGGAGACCAGTCTTAGTAATTTAGCAAGGCCCTAAGCAACTTAGTGAGACCCTGTCTCAAAATAAAAAATGAAAAGGGCTGGGGATATGGCTCAGTAAAATAAGTGTCCCAGAGTTCAATCCCTGTTACCAAAAAAAAAAAAAAAGAAAGAAAGAAAGAAAAGTAAAGAAAAAAATTGGAGCAATAGGAAAATGATTAATGTGGAAGAAATATATAATATGGCTCATATTTTCTGCAAAAAAATCATTGTGAGCTCATGCATAGAATAAAAACACTGGAAAGAAATTCCAAAACATAAAATGTTAATAGACATTATCTCTAGGTGAGATTATAAATAATTTCCTCTTTCATATTTTTTAATTTCCAAATGCTCTGAGTAAACATGCAGTGCTTTTATAACTAAGATATAAAAGAAAGTTTAAAAGGCTAGTCCCTACACATCTATCCTCTTATTCTGAATTATTGTTTTAGTAATAGCACTTATCACTACCTAAAAGTTTATTTCATATCTATTTCCTTGCCATAGTCCATTTTCCCAGCCAGAATGTAAATTTCATGAGAGCAGACATTTTCTTACTCACTGCTGGATCCTTAGTTCGTGAACAGTTTCAGGCACTTAATGGACATACTATAAAAACTTTAATAAATGAGAATGAGTCAATGAATGAATGAATGAATGAACTGAGTAAAATCACTGTCAGTGCCTTAGTTCATTCCTGATGCTGTAACAAACTACATTAGAGTGGATAATTGATAAATAATAAGAATTAATTTCTTGCAGTCTGAAAGCTGGGAAGTTCAAGATCAAGGCACCAGCAGAATCAGTGTCTGGCTTCTGATTCGTAGGTGGGAGCTTCTCGTTGCATCTCCACAAGGCAGAAGGGGCAAACAGCTCCCTTTCACCTCTTTTATAAAAGCACTAATCTCATTCACCAGGGAATCTGCCTTTGTGACTTAATCACCTAGTAAAGACCTCCTCTCTTAATATGATCACACTAGCAATTAAGTTTCAATGTAAGAATTTTTGGGAAAAGGTATACCCGGACCATAGCACTCAGGTCCAGAAAGTGGGCATTCCTTTGTCCTGTGCCCCTATCCCAGACACCTGGGAGATCAGTCATAGGAAAGGTTTTCTCAGATTAAGGATCATCAAAATGATATAAAGGTTAAAACATTTCCAAAATAGGGTTAACAGTGTGGAAAGTAGTCCAGACCCCACATCACTTGAAGGATTATTCTTTCCATAAGAATGCAAAAGGGAAGATATAGAGAAGAAAGTGATAGCTATCTCCAAATACTGCAAGTAGAGTCAAGAGGAACTTGCACTGATTTGATAAATATCCACTAAAGCTCTTCCATGCTCTAGGTATGGGGTAGGTATCAAGTGTACAAACAAGCAAGCAAAAATCCAGGATTTTACTTCATTTATTTGACTCTAGATCAAATACCAAGGATTGGTTAGAAATTTGCAAAGACAAATTTCAATGCTGCATAAGGCAGAGTATCAAATCAGCATTTCTTAAAGTACTTCCCATGGAACCCTAGGGATACAAGGATTGTTTATTTATATATTTTTTTAATTTTTTAGTTGTAGAGGCACACAATACCTTTATTTTATTTATTTTTAAAATTGAACCCAGTGCCTCACATGTTCTAGGCGAGTGCTCTACCACTAAGCCATAACCCCAGCCCCTTTTTATTTATATTATATGGAAAAAAAAGATTCTTGGGCCAAATATGTTTAGAAATATTTGAGGTAAAGTTCTTTTTTGGGGAGTGGGGTACTGGGGATTGAACTCAGAGGCACTCGACCACTGAACCACATCCCCAGCCCTATTTTGTATTTTATTTAGAGACAGGATCTCACTGAGTTGCTTAGTGCCTTGCTTTTGATGAGGCTGGCTTTGAACTCAAGATCCTCCTGCCTCAGCTTCCCAAGCTGCTGGGCTCACAGATATGAGCCACCATGCCCTGCATAAAGTTAATTTTGCACAGGACCTCTCAGAGTTCGTAATACATCAAAATTGTACATTATGATTCTCCTAAAAAGCAATAAGGTTCTTTCTCAAATTTTTTGATCACAGGATCCTTTTCTAGGCCTAGAATTCCATGGAATGAGCATTAGAACAAGTTCCTCTCTTTGCAACAAGAACCATCACCTTCAGAACAGGTAGCACCCACAGATCCAGATGGGCACACCCCTGAGACACAGCACCATCTACCACAGATGCACAAGTCTCCATTCTAAACCACTTGTCAATCCTAGTCCTCTCACCTCATCTCTCTCATCTCACAGTGTTCCCAGTTACCAGTTTCACACCCACATATTCTCCTTTACTTCCTTGCTTTGAACTTGGCTATAATGAACCATGCCTTGTATTTCAGTCTTTTACTTGAGCTCTACATAACAAAGATTGATTTCTTCCTATAAGCTATCTGGGGCCACCTGGATAAAGGCTCCCCCCAGGTTCAACTCTTTCATCTAGCTCACTATACAAAAAGGAGCAAGACTCAGACTGACTCTCATGACAGGGATGGCATAAATGGAGACAGCTTGGATTTTTTATATTAAAAGTTCTTGCCTGCTCTTATTTTTAGCTACCTCTTTGACAGGTCTGAGGTTCTATAATGTCCTATTTCCAGACATAATTTTTAAGTACTTTGGTACCTGGGAAACCAGCTATTTCTGTAGACTGAATCATCTTACTAGTCCTCATATGGAACACAGATGCTCTGCCACACAGTTGGGTAATTTTCACATGATGAGATAAAGCCATTTGAGATGCAAGGTCACTGGGGTATGTTCTACCTTCTAGCCATATAGATAAAAAACCCATATTGATTTTGAAAGCTTGCATGATATTCCTGCAGGAGAAACTGTTGTGATGTTAAACTATAGATGTTAAACCTCCCCATAATTTTTGGTCTCTTACCTTGTAACTTGGGTTCTCATTCCAAAATCCAGTGACCTCATTGACTGCAGCACTTCAATACAGCCCATGTACTAGAATAAGAAAAAAATAAGAAGAAGTAGGACAAAAATACCACAAAGCTGTATCTTAGCTAAATACTGATTTCCTGGGAAGCACCTCAAATCAGCTCCTGATGTCAAGTTACATATGCACACTCCATCTGCCATTGATCTATCTGATCATTAATAGACACATGCCTTACACTTCGGTTCAGTTCAAAACATTAGCAAAATGCAAATGGTTGATACCAGGAATGCAGGTAAAAGAGATGAATGTGAGTTTGGTGGTCAAGAGTGTGGGTTCTGGGGCCAGATGGGGTGAATTTTTATCCTGTCTCTGCCATTTCTTCATTAGGGAATCACAACCAATTACTTAACTTTTCTGCATCACAGTTTTGTCATCGGTAAAATGGAAATACATTTGTTGTAAAAGCTGAATTATTTCACACATGTAAAGCTCCTAGATGCCTACTATGCATAATTTCTTGAACATTACAGGAAGCAAAAAAATGTGAGACAAATAATATAGGAATGTCCAATCTTCAAAGAAGCTCTAACTAGCATATATATATATATATATATATATATATATATATATATATCACAGAAATTAGTAACATAAGACAATTTTATCATCTTTTGCAATACCACTGAAATAATAAAGCAGCTCAAGGAAAAAAAAGTCATGTCCCATACCAATGATTAGTAAGTTTAACTTGAATGTGGAACATTGGAAAAGGAATTGTGACATATGAAGCTAAAAGACAGTGTGCATTTAATGTGGCAGCAGTGGGGAGCCACGTCTGGCTGCTGGTAACAGCCTGATGCAATCTGGGTTTGAGGAGGCTGAAGCCTGTAGCAGTGTGAAGGTGGGTGGGTTAATAGTGAGGGAATAAGTTAGGATGTTCCTGTGGGAAATGGAGGTACTGACAACCCACATGGAGGAAGGATGGTCGCAATAGGGAGGAGGAGACCCATTCAGGTGACATCACGGAAATAGATGTTACAGGGTTCGGCAGTTGATTTGACATAGAGAATAAGAGAGAAGGATGAGTCAAGAATGACTCAGACTTTTTCAGTCAGGAGAGCAGAGGGAACAGTAATACCATCAACAGAAACAGGAAAGCCAGGAAGGGGACGATGAAGAATTCATTTGGGACCCGTTGACTGTAAGACACTGGTGGGATAGCCAGGAAATAACAAGTTGGCAGTTTGAAAATTAAATCCTGGATCCTGTGGAGAAAAGAAGCCTAGAAATACAGACTTAGTCTTCTATGTAGCTTTGCCAGGTGAGGCCGTGGGAGGAAATCCTCTTAGCAGAGCCTTGGTCGACTAGAGAGAGTGTTTCTCTTGAGAAGTGATTTGGAAATGTTATAAGAGCCAAGCAGTCTGATTGAAAGTGATCTGTCAGCTCCTTGGAAATGATATGTTTCCTGTTTAGCTTTCCTTTGGAAGCCTTCCAGCTTCCCTCTGCTTGGATATGGCAAAAGCACTGTGGAAAGATGGCAGAAGCTGGGGGTGGGGGAGGTGTTTCTCTCCAAAGAGTTCATGTAGTATTCTGAGCAGATTCTCTAGATTTACATCCTAAGACCAGCTCAGTGCACAAGTGTTGCCTTGACCCTGATGTTGGGGAGAACACACTGGGTGGAATGTTCTCAGCCAGACCCCTGTTAATCATGTCCCTCTTGGAGTCTCTAACATCAACATAAGAAACATCTTGGATATTTTGTTCTGCCCAATCACACTTACCTTCCCAAGGCTTGGGTACCACATGGAAGTAAGTGAGGTCTAGAGATTTATATTCAATGAACCATAAGGCTTAATCAGAAAGGAAAGCTAAATTTAGAAATGTCCATTTCAGAACAAGGGTTCAAGTTCCACATCAAGGTAAATCAAAAAGATTATGTGTCCTCATTGGTTGCTTTGTTTTCTTTGCTTTTCAGTACCCTCTTCTGATCCACAACCCAACTCAGCCCCTGCTGCCCTGTCTCCTGCAGTACTGGTCCTGGAAAGAATAGATTCCCCGTGAAATTTGGGGAGTAGTTATAGACTACACCTCCAATTCCCCCAGAATACCTTGTTGATGCAGAAGTATATGCCATCTTTTCCTGCAGCTGTAAATCATGAATGTCTGGCAAGGTGGTACTAATTGGCTTATCAGTGTACACTTTTTGAAAAGGTGACCAAGGACCTGCATTTTCCACTCTCTGCCACAATGATTTTTTCAAAAATCATACCAGATCATGAGCCTCCATTGCTTAACACCCCTAATATCTATGAAAATAAACCCACTGTCGGGCATGGTGGTACATGCCTGTAATCCCAGCTCCTCAGGAGGCTGAGGCAGGACGATCACAAGTTCTTAGCAACTTGGTGAGGCCTGGAAGCAACTTAGGAAGACTCTGTCACAAATAAATAAATAAATAAATAAGATAATAAATAAATAAATAGGGCTGGGGACTCAGCTCAGTGGTAAAGTGTTCCTGGGTTCAATCCCCAGTACAAAACAAACAAAAACCCCTCATTATTATAGGCCCTAGACCTTGTGTTTCCTGGCCCTACTCACCCTTCCAACTCCATCATTGTCCCTCTCTCTCTACACACTTTGCTGCCACACTGGCTCCTTCCTTTCCCTCAGATCCACTCCACTCTTCCCAAAGGCAGAGCCTTGACCCCTCTGCTCTCTCAAAACCTTCCCCTTTGCTCTGCAGGTCTGAGTCCTCTTCATCCTTCAGGTTTCAATTCAAATGACACTATTTTATAGGTTCCCTCCTGCCACTCTTTTCCATAGCTTTATTTGTGACCTTTATGTCATTGAAGGATAATTGAATTTATTTGTAATTGCTTATTCATTTCTTGGACTTCAAGCATCCTAAAAGGAAGGACCCTAACCACTGCCATAATCCTAGCACCTTGGACAGTGCCAGGCACCCAGAGGGTATCTATAACACGGGCTGAAAGAACCCAGAAAGCATCTAGTGTTCAACTCTACTGAACCTTACAAGGGGTAAAGGCGGTGAAGAAGCTGAGTGGGATGAAGTTCTCTCCATCTGGGGAAATGAACAAGGAGAACAGGAATGGTGAAGTCTTCCGAGCAGAGTCCATTGCTGTGAAGAATAACCTGTCCATTTCTTTGTTTAGACACTTGATAAATGCATAAACAGAGTGACTGAATATCAAGGCCTGAGGGAGTAGAAGTTCAATATGTTAGGTACAAACTAGAGATGACAATAACTTTCATTTCATTTATTAAATGCAGATCTGCATAAGATCTTAAGAACAGATCTGTGTTCTTAAGAAACCTGGCCTCATAAAGACAGGCTAACCATGGAAAGAGATGACTTCTGTTTTTATGAGGTGAGTCACTGTTGTTAACTTCATTTAATAGAAGAAGAAATTAAAGCCTATTCAAGGGAAGGACCTGGCTCAGTTTCATTTATTCACTGAAACTGAATTAGGGTTTATTCTAGGGACCACTGCCCATTGCTGGGACCCAATATAACAGGAGTGAAAAGAAAAGAGGTTGTCCAGTGGCTCCCACTTTCCTCCTTTGGTCAACCCTGGTAACACAGTGACAAGACTGAGGGCCACAATGTGATAGCTGTTGTGAGTTCAGGCTGCTCTGAGGACTGCAGGAGCGGCACAGGAGACAGAAAACATTCCCTAATACCTGATCTTGTGGCAAGGAAAGGACACTAAAGACCTTTACATAGAGGTTGTAGGGTTGGTGAGAAAGAGGCAGAGCTTTGGCAAATGCAAAGGCAACTTCCCATTCAGCACCTGGAAGGTGGCTTACCTAACTCCCAGCTCACTCCCTCTCTGCACACCACAATAATTATATTTTTGTACTTTCTGAGCATCAACCCAATCATTTGCTTCCAGGGAGAAGTGAACAGTCAATTTATGGACATGTTTATCTGGGGCAATCCATTCCAATTGTGAAATTACTGGGATTTTCAGAGAAAAGGAGTGATAACTAACTTATGAAAATATCTCATCTGACTCGCAGAGAATGGTGACTTCAAGGGTATTACCTATGGAAAAAGATATACCCCAAATCCTCAGAAAGAATGTCCGCAGTCTCTACAATAAACTGTTAAGAGCGGCTTCCTCTGGGCTGGGAAGAGGCAGCTTTTCACTTTTTTCTTCACACTTTTGCACGGATATGTTTTAAAAAATAAGTATGTAGTATTATTTTTTAGAGTTAAAATGAAATAATCAAGCAAACTTACCACCTCACCTGAAATCCTGTTTAAATCCCGTTTCCCCCACATTTTTACAGATATGTTATAGTTGTACATACTGATGGGATTTGTTGTTACTCCACTCTTGAGTAATGTGAACACAATATATAATATAACAATATAGTTTGTTGAATCCTTTTTTATTAATGCCATGTTCTCTTCTTAAGAATGTACCTTCCCCATTCTCAAAGTATGAGAGAATATTATGCAGGAGAAGTTTAAGGTCTAGGCCATGCACTTTTAAAATAAGAGTAATCAGATAAGGAAGAATGACAGCTATGAAACAATTAAATACTGAATAACAGTATATAATCAAATATGATATAATGAAGGTCTGGCCATCATGCAATAAATGCTCAACAATAGTAGAGGCCGATGAGTTGGCAAGAATATACTAGGGGATTTTCAGCTTCTTTAAATAACTTCTTGTCTTTTTTTTTTTTTAAAGGAAGGCCAATAAGGAAGGACATTCCTAAATAACCTTGAGATATTGTCTCTATTTCTTTACTTTCCATTCATTCCTCAACTCACCATAGATAAGTTTTTGGCTTTAACACCCCTGAAACCTCCTGAGCAAACCAACTACTTCCTCCTGGTTCATTCTAGTGAAGTGTGGATCTCCACCTACTCTTATTTTCCCTCAGAACCACTCCCCTTCTTTGGCTTTTATGAGAACATTTTCTGTGATTTATTGTCTTTGCTTTCTGCCTACTCCTTCTCAGTCTCCTTTGCAACTTACCCTTAGCCTCATCTTGTCTTTTAACAATGTTTCCTTCTCTTCTCAGCCTC